TTTGATCGGAATCAGCTCAAACTTTCTACACAACATAAGTACATGTATATGCATCAGAAAATGTAATAAAAATTGAGAATTTTCTCCTTTTCATTTTTGGTGAAATTTGGCCAAAGTCCCTGTACTATAGTACAGGGACTTTTACCTGATTTTTGAGTAACTTTTAAAAATCATAAAAAATCTAATTTTGATCGGAATGAACTCAAACTTTCTATACAACATAAGTACATGTATATGCATCAGAAATTATCATAAAAATGAAGAATTCTCTACTTTTTATTTTTGGCAAAACTGTATATACATGTAATTATGGCCAGATTATGTAACCAGGTTTACTCCCTTGTAATCCTCTCCTTATTTCCAGAGCCAGTTATCAGATTTGGAAGGTGAAGTGGTCAAACTACGCTCTCACCTCCGACTAAAGGAAGAAGAAGTAGCAGAGATCAGTCAAACAGCATCTAGACTGACCCGTGAACGAGACCAATTTGCTGACATAGTCAGACAAGAATTTGCAGAGAGGCAAGGGACATTCAAACACATTGAGCTATGCTTACCATCTCACTGTCCTACTCTCCCTCTCCCTCCCTACCTCTCTCTCTCTCTCTACTCTTCTTCTTTTAGACTAATATCAATTGAAGAAGAGAATAGGCAGTTCAAGTTAGAGTTAAGTGAGTTACAGGCGAAGCACAAATTAGAGTTAGAGAGACTTCAAAGAGGAAAGGAGAGGGAACTAGCTGAGCTACATGATCGGGTCAAACAAGCTCTGGCTAAGAAAGAAGAGAATCTAAAATCACTTAGAACACAGCATCAGGTAAAGAACAGAAATATTAACAGAAATGGCTGTATTATTTAATAATAAATTATAATCATTCTGTCATAGGCGGCACTCAAGAGGGCAGATCACTTAGAAATGTTACTGGAGCAGCAACGAAAGGAATTATTGAAAAGATGAAGTCACTCACTAAATAAAATGGATATCACTTATTGTTAATTTAATTAAACACCTAACCTCTCACACCTATATGCACCTGTTTCATTTTAAAATGCATCAGAAGTGATCATACTTATTTCCACATTAAATTATAATCAATTATAAACAGCAGCGGCAGCATTACTCGTTAAGTGTGTGGGCGTTAAATTGTCAGTATTTATGCAGTCATTCATCTTCCTAGTCTTGATCCTATCGTTCCACCTGGGTGGTTCCTGCCAAAATCTTTTTCAGTCACACCTTTCCTTAATATCAGCTCAGAGACTATGGCATTAACTAGGATGTCCTAAAGATTTTAAAAATAAATATTTAAAATATAAAATTATTATATTACAGATAACATAATTAATATCAACAATAAACAAGCTTACTTTTAAAATATTCAATTATTATTAATATTAGTAATACCTGTATTGCAAGACTAGTAGTGGGAAGACAGCCAAACGGCTCCTCATTAATATCAATATGGCTGTAATCAACACTGTGGGTACACAATTTCCCTAGAGACGATCCTGTACATAACAGATCAAATCAATAATAACAATCACTACACTGTTATAATGACACTAGTAAAGACACTATGCTACATGTACGCGTATTTAAAAGTGTGTGGTTGTGTTGCTGTGCCTTGTTTCCCAGTGATTGATATCGTAGTGACTCCTTTAGCTAAGACAGAAGCAGCTGCTTCCACTGTTTCATCAGTAGATCCACTGTGAGATATAAATATACACACATCTCTACCAGGAGTTAGTTTACCTGTAGAGAGAGAGAGAGAGAGAGAGAGAGAGAGAGAGATTAAAAGGTGTAAATAAGGAGAGATGCAAGAGTAAGGGAGGAACCTAGATCTCCATGCCTCCATTCCACAGCACTGACGTATTGTGATGATACACCAATGGAGCTCAATGAAGCGGCTAACCTGTTAGCAATAAGACCAGATTTACCTACAACAAATGAAAGAATGTGCATACGTCACTCTTTGATGTGTTATTATAATCACAATCATTTGGTCAAACTTTTTCACAAGCTTGCTTGTTAAAACTTTACCTATTCCGCTGGTGAATATTTGCCCCTGGCAGTCCTCCAAAATAGTTAAGACGTTGTTCAAACTTTTCTTA